CCTGAGGAGATGTAAGAAAATGTTTTTCTCCCTGAGCCTGGCCTTCATAATTCCATTCCATCACAATAACAAAGTTGCTGGTCCCAGTTGTCACTAAATGAGGACTGCCTGTAGTTGTAACTGATGCAAACATTGGCTCTGAAGCTTCTTAATTTGAAAGACTGTTATTTGAGTGTTCTTGATCTTTGCCATGAGGACCCTGGAAGTTATCATAGTCCTTTCATTTTGTATCAGTTCTTTCTGAACTTGTATTCTGAAAATAAAGAATATTGGGCTATTTTGTATTTTTTCTTCATTTTCAACTGCACCAGAATCAGATTCGCAGTTACTTTTTCTTAAAAAAGAAAAGAAAAGAATGATAACCAATTGGAAGAATCTGTTTCTTAAGTGATAATTTTGCTACATGGGCAGCTAGAGTAGTTTTAATACTTTCTGTTTTTCCTAGATTGCAAAATTGTCCAACTATGCGAAATATCAGCGACTCTGTGATACCGCCTTCATATTATTTGGTGTTATGTTTATTATTACCCGTTTGGGGATTTATCCTATCTGGTAAGTATGATGAAGTAGACTCCCAGCTGTAAATTATATATGCTGGAAGGACCAAGGAAGAGTTTTGGTGGAGACTTAATAGCACAGTGTTCTCAGGGGTAGAGATACTATGCAGGTAATTTAATTGTATAATTTTTATTGGTGAAAGATAACAAACAGAAGAATAACATGAGAATAATGGTATAATTAAAAATTATACTTAATGGTGATGAAAATAAACTAAGGTGATGAAAATAAAACTAAATTTTAAGGGAAAATATATAAAAATCCATAAAATATTTATATAAAATTGGCTCAACATTATTAAAGCTGTATAGAAATCTGACTTCTCAGTTTTAGAATAAAAAGGCATTTCAAACAGTAATGAATACATCTTTTGAATGTAACATCATGAGTGTAAAATAATTTCTGCGTTCTCTTTGCTGAACCCTAGGCTTGATAAATCCAGAGTTCTTTGTAAAATGATGAATTCCATATTTTTGGAATATAATTCAGCTTCATTCATTCATTCATTCATTCATTCATTCATTCATTATCTATCTATCTATCTATCTATCTATCTATCTATCTATCTATCTATCTATCTATCTATCTATCTA